GGAAGTGCTACGGCTGCTGGCCTGCCAAAAGCTAAACTGAGAGTGTCTGTCAGAGAGTGTTCTCAGACTCTACCAAAAAAAAGTCTGCTAGAACTGACAAGATGAATAAAGTTGCAGGATACAAAACAATGGAACAAATGCAATACTTCTAATACACAATGAAGCAACAGAAAGACAACAAAGAACCGATCCACTACTGCAACAAGAAGCATAAAATGCAATTTGTAAATTCCAAATCCAAAAGATGCAAAGACTGCAAGGAAACTACAGCTGCTTATGAAGGCACCAAGAACATTTCCAAAGAAATGGTTATTATCGCTCATGGATTAACAAATGTCAAACACACTACCCAAAGTTATTCACTATCACTACCCCAACAAATTAAACAGCATTTTCTCGAAAAACTAGAACAAGCAATCTCAAAATTCATATGGAACCACAAAAAGGCCCCATAGCCAAAGTGATTTTGAAGAAGAACACCAAAGCAGGAGGTATCACATCCCAGACTTTAGCCTTCTACTACAAAGCTGTCATCATCAAGACAGCATGGTATTGGCACAACAGACACATAGACCAATGGAATAGAATAGGAAACCCCAGATAGAACTAGACCCACAAACGTATGGCCAACCCATCTTCGGCCAAAGCAGGAAAGAACATCCAATGGAAAAAAGACAGTCTCTTAACAAATGGTGCTGGAGAACTGACAGCAACATGCAGAAGGTTGAAACTAGACCACTTTCACACACCATTCACAAAAACTCAAAATGGATAAAGGATCTGAATGTGAGATACAGGAAACCTTAGAGGAGAAAGCAGGAAGACCTCTCTGACTAAAGCCAGAAAGCAATCTCCATCGACACATGCCCAAAGGTAAGGGAATTAAAAAGCAAAAGTGAATTACTGGGACCTTATGAGATAAAAAAAGCTTTCTGCACAGCAAAGGAAACAACCAAGTAACCAACGGAATGGGAAAAGATATTTGCAAATGACATATCAGACAAAAGGGCTAGTATCCAAAATCTATAAAGAGCTCACCAACCTACACCTGAAAAGCAATAACCAGTGAAGCATCGGCAGAAACATGAATAGACACTTCTCTAAAGAAGATATCCGATGGCCAATAAAATACGAAAAGATGTTCAGCTGCCGCCTCCTCATCAGGGAAATACAATCAAAACTCAGGTATCACCTCACGCCAGCCGAGCTAAAATGAACAAATCAGGAGGACTATAGATGCTTGAGGATGTGGAGAAACGGGAAACCCTCTTGCACTGTTGGTGGGAATGCAAATTGCAGCCAGCTTGGAAAGCAGTGTGGAGATTCTCAGAAAATTAAAAATAGACCTACCCTATGACCCAGCAATAGCACCCACCGACCTGACCCAGGGACCATCCAATCCAGAATACAGGAGTACTGATGGCTAGGGCACTTGTACCACAATGTTCATAGCAGCACTCTCAACAATAGCCAAATTATGGAAAGAATGTCCATCAACTGATGAATGGATAAAGAAATTGTATATACAATGGAATACGTGGCAATGAGAAAAATGAAATATGGCCTTTGTATAACGGATGGAACTGGAGAGTGTGGATGCTATGAAATAAGCCATACAGAGAAAGACAGATACCATATGCTTTCACTCTTATGTGGATCCTGAGAAACTTAACAGGAATCCATGGGGAAGAAAAAAAAAAAAAGAGGTTAGAGGAGAGAGCCAAAGCATAAGAGAGATTGTTGAGAACTGAGAGCAAACTGAGGGGGGGTGGGAGGAGGAGAGGGTGGGTATTGAGGGAGGGCACCTTTTGGGATGATCACTGGGTGTTAAAGCGGAAACCAATTTGACACAAATTTTGACACATAAAAATAAAAATAAAAAAATAAAGTGTGAATGAAATACTTTACAGTTTAAGGTTAACTGGAATTCTTTTCAGAGGCATGTCTGTCTGAAGATGAGACTTATTTGGTTTATTTCCCAAACTAATATAGAGTAAAGAATCAACGTTATGGCAAAATAATAGACAAATTATATTTTGAAAGCAGTAGAGCTCTGAGGACATCGCTTGTTGGAGATATTTTGGTAACCTTAATTTCTTTATAAACCCTGGGGTGAAATATCTTGCTCGACTCAGGGCTTCAGGACCATCCTTCAGGCCCTTCCCAAACCCTCTTTTCCAACAGCATTCCTCTCCTCCAGAATAAAGCTTTCTTGTAATCAGCTCAACAATCACCTTCTGCTTTTTCACACTCACTCTTTATTCAACATGATCCTTACAATTGAACTTCTTTCTTTTTGTTCTTCTTCTGCTTTCTCTTATTTGGATGCCAATCAGAATGCTGTAATTTATATATGCATCTCTCTGCTGGACCATACATAGGCCTCTAGGTGTAGAGATACAATTTATTTGGATATTAAACAGAATTCTTTCCAACAGCACTGCTCACACATTGTGGGTACTTCATAAGTAAGCATTTGGAATGATTCTTATATATCCTCCCTTCCTGCCACTTCCATGCACTCATTTTTCTTTTTTTAAATATATTTTAATTTTAAAATATTTAGTTTAAAGAAAGTTACTAAACTAGTACAGATAGTTTCCGTATACCATTCATCTAGCTTTTCCTGATGTGCACATCTTCATAGCATGATACAGTTAATAACGCTAAGAAATTCAATATTTATTAGTATTAACCAAATATAGATTTGTTTTGATTTCATAAGTTTTCCATTGAAAACTTCATTTTTCTCCAGCTTCTAATTCAGGATGCCACACATTACATGTTAGTTTTCCAAACTGTGATACTAATCTGTCTTTTTTTTCTTTTTTTTTTTTTTTTTTTTTTCCTTTGTCTTTCAGACAATTTAAAGAGTGTTGGCCACAGGTATTTTGCAGAATGTCCACAGGACTCTCTAATTGTTGTTTTTTCTTTTAAAAAATTTTTTTTTTACATTTATTTATTTTTGAGAGACAGAGACAGAGCACAAGTGGGGAGAGGGGCAGAGAGAGAAGGGAGACACAGAATCTGAAGCAGTGTTCCAGGTTCAGTTGTCAGCACAGAGCCCCGACGCGGGGCTTGTACTCACCAACTGTGAGATTCGACCTGAGCCAAAGTCAGATGCCCAACCGACCGGAGCCACCCAGGTATGCTTCCTTCTGTTTTTTTTCTTATAATTAGATTGTGGTTATGGGTTGAAAACCACAGAAGTGATATAACCATCTCATCATCATATATCAGAATGCATGACATCAACATGACATTACTGGTGATGTTATTCATGATCACTTTATAAAGTAGTGACTGCCAGGTGTCTCCAAAGTAAAGTTAATACGAATTCTTCTTTAGTAATAGGTATTAAATAAATATTTCATTGTTTTATTCAACAATAATAGTCACTAACTTGTACTATACAAACTGATGGTCGTCCAGGATATAATGAAAAAAGATAGCCAGGAAGTCCTTTTCAAGGAATTTACATACTAGTGGGAGAGGCACATAGTAAATAAAGATAAATAATCAAAAGATACAGTTTAAAGAGAAAATTAAAAGGAAAGGTATAAGGAAGAGTTGACATTTTAGAAGAGATTTATAGAGAAAGAAGTGAGAGACTGAATATGCAAGCAGGCAAGGCCACACCATATAAAAAAGAATAGAACACTGATCTACAACGGTATCCAGCTCTAGAAATCAATACCTGATCTACTTAACCAACCCAGGAAGCCACCAGTCTGTTCTTTTCTAAATCAGACTTGCATAATGTGACTAATTATCTTTAGTAAACACTCCAAGACGCCTTAAACAATAATCCCTTTAAGAAGTGGCCCCAAATGTCCAACAACACTTAATAACTGACAGCTTCCAAATCTAGGACCAACTAGAGAAAGCACCTAATAAATTCAAAGCACACGAGCTCCACTTCATACCTTTCCTATGCCAACAACCCCAGTCTGGGCATACCTTGAAACCTCCTTTTCCCTGCAAATGCATAAAGTTTTCCCATTCCTATTCCTGTCTGTGAGTCTCCCCTGCTGGAAACTCTGGAAAAGTGATTGGTGCTGACTCCTTTATGAATGCTGAACAGGCAGCCTTTTTGTCACTGGTTTCGTTTATTTCACAGAGTAAAGATTTTGGAACAAGGAAGAGACAGAGCCATGATGTGGGGGAAGAGCACTGCAGGCAGAGAAGCACAGAGGCCCTAGAGGTGAGAACGAGGAGGCCAAGCCAGTAGACTGGATAGAGAGGAGAAGACAGCAGCATACTCAGGTCAGAACACAATGGGCTCAAGCAGGGCAGATGGGGTAGGACATTGTAACTAGGTGTTAGTTTGGATTTTATTCTTTGTGAGATAGGAAGCCATTGGATTTTTCAACATAGAGGAATTGATTTAACTGGAGATTTTATTTTAGAAAAAATTTTTTTTTTAAACGTTTTATTTATTTTAGTGTCAAGGAGAGATAGAGCATGAACAGGGGAGGGTCAGAGAGAGGGAGACACAGAATTGAAACAGGCTCCAGGCTCTGAGCTGTCAGTGAGCCCGACAACGGGCTCAACCTAATGGATCATGAAGGACCTGGTCGGGGTCAGCCGCTAACCGACTGAGCCACCCATGCCAGCCCAACTGAGATTTTAATAAAAGATTGTTCCCAGTGCTGTGTTTTGGACAAACCAAAACCTATACAAGGGGATGAAAAGAGATCAATCCATAAGGCTGTGTGGTCATCCAGGTAAGAGATGATGGTTTGATCCAGGATGAATTGACCAGATGGTGATATTGAGCTGTTGAGAAATGCCTGTGGCTCTGGATAAAGATAAAGAAAAGTTAGATTTGCTGAAAGCCATGTGTGATGAGAAAGATGATAATCAAGATTTACACTGTTAGCTTTGATGTGAGCAAACTAGAAGTACACATATTACATGGCCTGTACTTTGGATGAGCAAGACCATGGGAGGGGCAAGATTTGTGGAAATGTCAGGAGCTCAAAGC